TCCATCCATCCATCCATCCATCCATCCATCCATCATTAACTCCTTCCATCCATCCATTAACTCCTTCCTTCCCGCCTACCTACCATCCGTGCAGTACTGCCGGGTCACGTACAGCCAGTGGGAGAGGCTGTCAAAGGAGAGGAGGCTGTTGAGGTTGTAAACCAGGAGCGCCGCGTCTGCGTTCCGGTAATAGCAGCTGCTCAGCGACAGGAAGCGCTCCTCTCCAGCTGTGTCCCACAGGGAGACCTGCAGGAACGGAGAAAGCAAGACCACCGTGGTGGGAGGTGGGAGCAAGAGAACTCCTTGCCACATGAAAGTGCAAAGGGGGAATTAACCCTCCCTTCCCCTGCTAGGGAAGGATTGGCAATCAGGAGAAGAACTGCACCAGGTGGAATGGAGCATAATTGCGGAATTAATGGGCCTTCAGATTCCCTGACCCGTTTTCCACTCTTGCAGCAGAGCAGCGGAAAATGTAACAGAAGGGAACCCTATTCAGCTTAAAATACGGAGACACTTCTACCAGCTGTCTTGATCTTCCGTTTGTTGAAGAATGACTTAAGGGGGTGCCTTCCCCCATGGCTCCCCAAACCCTCCAGAGGGCCATGGCCCCCTCCATACGACTGCACACCGAGGAGAGCCACCTCTGAACTTCAGAAACGTCCCTTCTTTCGGCTACACGCCCCAGAAGCTATCGGTCAGAGTGGCTGCTGGCTGGGGGGAATCTATACTCCAGAAAGAAAGATATAAAATATTTATCTGTACAAGGTTTTAAATGTGTAGATGCTAAAGCTTTATATCTGATTAAATTGCTTTTAAGGGAATGGTTGATTTAAAAAATATTGTATGGCACCTTGGGTACCTCCTAAGGGGGGAAATGTGGGATTTAATCCAATCAGTAAAACCCCATGCTGGTGTTGGCTTGGACTGGTTGTGGTTTTTGTTTGTCGTTATTTTTTTGCTTTGCCCATTCCCACCTCCACCCACAGATTCCAAAATATCACCACAAAAAAATGGGTGCCCTGATTTCCACTTTGCAATCTGCCCATGCTCCGTTGGCTTCTCTTTTCCTCCTTGAGCCTTCTGGAAGCAGAGAGTTCCGGCGGTGAAGCATAAGCCACGCCGGCCGGGTCTTTCCCTAGAGCTGCCTGGGGGTGGGGTGGGGAACGGGCTCCTACCTGTGCCTGGGGGTGGCTCCGGCTGTGTCTCAGCGGCACGATTTTCTCGCACACGCTCATGGGCTGGCCGAGAGCATGGGCCTCCTCCAGAAAATGCCCGGTCCTGATGCGGTGGAAGAAGGTGGTCTTCCCCACCCCAAAATCTCCCAGCAGGATCAGCTTGAATCTCAGGCTGGGAGAAGATGCGGCCATGGTTGGGTGGCTCTCTGCCTGGGGCTCAGTCCTCCTCCTGGCTGAGATGCCGGTGGGCAAACGGACCTGCCAGGGAAGAGGAAAGAAGGAAAGAAGCCAGTGGGGACCTGACAAGATGCATGGGGCCCTTTCTTGGTTGACCCCCGCCCCGGGAGGGGGGACTCAGAGCATCAGATGAGGCCTGCTGAATCAGACCCCTATGAACCCATTGTGTCCCTAATCCTGCTTCCACAAAACTAGAGCAGAGAAAAATTACTTTTCTGGAGGACCGCTTCTGGAAACCTCCAGCTGGAAGCACACAGAGAAGGTTTGAACAAGCAAGCCAGCGTAAGCGCCCCAAAGGGAATGCCAAAAGAGGTGCTCCTTCTAGTTGATCAGGTTTAGACCCCCAGTTTTTAAGGTTTTGAAAAGGTCCACCCCCTTTTTTTTCTTGGAGTAGAATTCCCCAAGCCAGAATATGCCCGAACTGAAGGATTCTGGGGTTCAAAGCCCAGGCTCAGCTAGACGGTGGCCGAAATGGTATGGCTGCTGTTGCTTCCAAAAATAAAAGGGGAGGGACCCATAGAACATTTTAGGAAAACTCACAGCAGAACCGGAATGTAACAGTAACTGTATATCCAAAATGTGAGATGCAAATGGGATAAATGCCTTGTCTACGGCAAAAATGTGCTTTGGAGCAGCAAAATTATACGGACACCGTCCCTCTTACCGGGGGGAGGGGGGAGTTAGGATCCCAGAAAAGCCGCAGCTCAGATTTATTCTAATATTCTGGCTCAGTTTCCTTATACTGGGGGTGCCTCTCTAGCTAGAATTTAGTCTTCCCACTGCTTGCCACTTGATCCTCACCAAGGCAAAAGAAATAGAAGAATATCTGGGTTTGATACTTTTTGAACATCACATTTAGAAAAGCCCGCATGGAAAAAAAAAAACAACCTTCTCCAGACTTCACAGGCCAACAGAGCATCAGCAGGGCTGAAAATGCATGGCATCCGGCTAGGAAGAGGCCTCGTGGCACCGTGGTTCAACTGCAGTGAAGATTCTGCTCACCACCCGAGTCTGACCTAGTTTTGACCTGGAACATGGTCTTCCCCACCTTGAACCTTCTACACCTAAGCAGAATCTGGTCTGGGTACCTTGAAACCTGAAAATGGATGCTTCTGCCAAGTCCGATCTGGTTGGGTTGGCCAGACAGAGAGCAATTAATTGGCTTTCTTGGACCTTGAGCCGTTGAGCAACAGGGCTGGTGGGCAACATAAAAAAGACCAATAAATTAAAAAAACCAAACAAAACATGACAGCCACCCACAGGACAGTCTCAGGACAGACGTCATCTAGGTCCAATCCCTTCGGATCTCCAAACGATTATTCTATTCCTGTAAAAATTCCACCCAGCCTAGAACCTCCACACCTCCCCTGAGTAATGGGTTAAGCGTTCCATCTCCTCCGAGGTTCAGAAATTTCCAGTCCCTAATTGCTGAAGCTTGACTGCTTCGCTCTGTATCCTTCTACTGCCAGCCCTGGGTGGCTACCTTTACCGAATTCTGGAAGTCACAAACATATCCCGCACCCCCACCCCCCAAAATGCAATCTGTTTTCAAACAAGGCAGAGGGGTCCTCGTCCAGCAGCCCCCCCATACCGGTCAGCTACTGGTCCTCTGGGTTGCTTTCGGTCTGTGGTCCCACCACCCCACCTTCTTGTTCGTTGGAAGGAAGAACAGGCCAGCCCAACACAACCACGTCTCCCCCCAGCCACATGAAGGACACAACGCCAGAACTCTTCCAACGGATCTCCTTCGTCCCCATGCCAGTGGCCCGGCTCATCAATGGACGGGGGGGCTCAGCAATCCCCCTTTCTGTGCCTGCAGATCCTTCCGCAACGGACACGAAAGGCTCAACAAAGCAGCCCTTTTGCCCAAAGCTGCCATCGCTCTGCTACCTTGCCCCTTGGTCGGTCTGTCCAGGCACGGCCAAAGTCAAGACGGTTCCTGCCCCGAGGAATTCCCAGGCGGACACCCTCGGCAGCCTCTCTCGGCCCCGGGAGTCACATGCAAGTCATACTGCAGCTCGGAGAGCGGAGAGAGGGCGTGGGCGCAAGGGCCCGTCGGATCGCCTCCTGGGACGCTGGAGAGGCCCAAACCACTGGCACGGGAGAGGCTCAACCCGTCCATCCGGCTTCGTTCGGCCACTCTTCTGCGGCCCAGCCCAGTTTCCTGCCTCGGATGGTGGGCAGCCAGGAGAAGAGTCACAGGAGACTCCCCCCACCTCAAAGGCCCCGCCAGTGGGTGGATTGGGCTGCTCAGCGTTGGCTCTCGGTCTCGTTCCTGCCCTTAAGAAAGCTGAGCCTGTGAGCCGAGAGAGAGAGGCAAGGGCCCAGAGGATCACCAAGGGCTCTTGAGGTTGCTGAGTGCAGGAGAAGAGGCTCCGCCGGGGAGAGGCCGAGGTGGTGGGGGAGACGTCTCAAGCAGGAAAGCGAAGGGGTCCCCCGGCTGCCTTGTGCGAAGTCCGAACTCAAGGAGAACCACCACCATCACACCACAATGCTGTCCCACGCCACCAGGAACGTGGACCCATGACTGCCGCAGAAGATGCCCTGGGAGAGGAAAAGTTCAGGGGTGGGTTGTGGGGAGTTCCTGTTCCTGTCCAGGGGCCTTTTGCAGGCGCGTCTCCTTCCGAGCTGCACACGGTCATTGCTCGTGACCCTTCAGGGGCAAAATGAGACTGCCTGCCGTTCAGGATCCTCTCTGGCTGTCCTGCTCTGCCCTGCCTCTGCAGCCCTCCACCCCGCCCCCAAAAGAAAGACACCTAGAAGGACGAGAAGCAGGCAGGCTGGCTTATTTGAGCGTGGGAGGGGAACATCAGCCCTGTGTGTGGGGGGGGGCAGCAAAAACAGGCCTTGGGCTTCACAGCTGGCCTGACCGTCTGGAGTCTTCGCTAGGAGGCTTTGGCGACATCGCCGATCTCCTGGAGGCTGCTGGGAGTGAACCGGGACGAGCCGGCCTGCTTGGGTTGGAAACACGGAAGTTCTCCCCCTGTGGCCACCAAGCCCCCGACACCCCCACCTGTGGCCTGCCAGGGCCCTGAACTCTCACCCCATGGTGACCTGCACAGCCTGGAGCACCTGCGAGCTGCTGGATGGAGAGGATAGGCAAAGCCGCGACAGCCCTCCCTTAGGCACCCTCCAGGTTCCTGAGACCACGGACTAGCCTCCTGCTCCGCCTTTCCCGAATGCCAAAGGCCGGTTGCAAAGGGATCCACCTTCAGCTTAACTTCCCGACGCCTGCAAGGGCCAACGAAGAGGGTGCGGGGATCCCCCCTCATGGCACTTGGCTGGCAGCAGGTCTCCCACCCCACAAGCTGCAACCAAACTAATCAGGGATTAATTGGAATGAATCGCCTTGGAGGAAAGGCGGTCCCTTAGAGTAAGTAAAGAAAAGGTGACAGAGACACGCAGAAGGAAGAAGAGGTTTTTTTCCCTTCACCTTCTCACTTTATTTATCAATCATTTTCACTGATGGCTCTGCTCCCCAAGGTGAGGTATACAACCTATAATTGCAGATCCTGGCAGGGCCTCCCTGTGCAGCTGATTCAAAGTGGGTAAAAAGAAGTCCATCTTCACACGGCACGCCACTTGACGATGCTCAGAGTGGCCACCCACCTCGCTTTAAAATAGACTCAGAAAGAAAATATCCCCGGTGAATAAGGCTAACCGTGGCCCTGGCGCCCGGGGCCTGATGGCTATGCGCTCCTACAGAGGGGACACCTTTGACTGCCAGCTGTGAAGGAACAACACACCTTTCTCTGTGAGCTTCCTGCCAGGACTGGAGCACCACAGCGAAGACAGGGTGCGGGCCCACCTTGGCCTCTTCTTTTCCTCCTGTCGCACACCCGAAACGCAAACATCAGGGTGCCTTTAAGGGTACGGGGTCCTCTAGACCAGCTAACGCCTGGCGGCACCAGGATCAGCTCACTCCCTCCCCTCCCAAACACACACCCAGAGTCTGAAAGGGGCGCTCCAGGGACCTGCGCCCGGCCAGGAAGGGCCCCACTTGTGGCTCCAAGGCAGAGGGGCCAGCTGGGCCTTCTCCCCCTCCCCTGAACTCTGGCGGTCTTCCGTCTGCACTCCCCAGCCAGCCAGCCGTCCCTCTGCGGCACAATCAAATTAGGGGCGCTGCCCCCAAATCAGTCAGAGACGCCAGCAAAGAGCTCCCCGCCCCCCTGGTCCAGTTCTCGCTGCTGCCGTTGGAGGGCCCGCTGCAGGGTGAGGTTGGCCGCGGCCATGAGGCCTCGCAGGACCTCCCTCTTCCTCGGCGCCAGCAGCAGGGGCCACGGGCTCTTGCGCCCGGACAGGAAGCCCGAGAAGCCCAGCAGCAGGCTCCCCGCCATCCCCCAGGGGTTCCCGGTGAAAACAGAGGCGACCAGGATGGTGACGGAGGCCACGGCGTTGACCGAGTGGGCCACCATGGCTCTGGCTTCCTCCGTCAAGTAGCCCCAGCCTCCGGTCAGCAGGAGCGCCCCTCCCAAAAGGGCATTGGCCGTGGCGCGGTCCCCGTGCAGCCAGTGGAAGCCGAAGACCAGCAGGGGCAGCCCGGCCACGGTGGAGACCCAGGCGACGTCTGGGGCCGGGGCCGGGGCCGATCCCACGCCGAGGCCGAGGAGGGCGGCCAGGAGCGGGCCAGCTTCCACCGTGGACACCAGGGCCTGGAGGAGGAACCCCGCGGCGGCCCCTCGGTTGATCTGCAAGCAGAAAGAGGCCGTGAGGGACAGGTCATCACCGACTTCAGCCCCTGCACACAAAGCCGCCTCACGCACGGCCAGCCCACTAGGCAGGACAGCCCCTCACCGGCCACACTGCCCAGCTGCAGCTGATCTTCCTAGGTCTAAAAAAAGAGAGGAAAACTGTGGTCCCAGGATGCAGAAAACACACACAGTCGTTATTCCCTACGTGTTCTTGGCCTGTCAGCCTTCTTTAAGGGTGCATCCATTTAACTCTATTTAGTGCTTTCTCTGTTTATTCCGTCTGTGACCAGCTCCACTAAAGCAATTCTGATTTAACCCGGGATCTTCTGCACGCAAAGCAGACGCTCTCCCACCGAGCTGTATGGCTTTCGATGCCGCCTCGGAAGAAGGGGGCTTCAGACCCCCAGCTATGCCCGAAGCCCTCCTGCTCCCTTTTGCAAGCTGCCCCCAAAGGCAGGAGGCTCTTCCAGAGGGAACTCTGAGAGCAGGTGAGACCAAGGGAACTTCCTTCCCTGTTTTTTGGCTCCTCTCCTGGCACTCCTGAAAGCTCACCCCTGCTTGTGTCTCCACCACGGGGACCCTTCCTGCCCCTTCTTATCACTGAATGTGGGAAAGCGACTTCGCTGCACCCTCTCTGCTCCCATCCCTTCCTGCACCCCAGTGTTTCAACAGCCACTGGGTGGCCATAGCCAATTTGGTGGCTGCCCTCCAGAAGGTCCTGTGAGCCTCCTCCAGTTCCAGAAGGTGACCCACTCCTAGGCCAGGTGGCCCACGTCCTCCTCGTCCGAGAGCAAAAACACCCCTCGAGCAAAGGCAGGCGGGCTGGCAGAAAGGCTCGCCCCTAGGAAACAGAGCGGGGGGGGGGAGAAAAACAAGGGACTCAGCCTCTTCCTTACCTGGAAGGTCTGCACCGTGGCGCCCAGGCACACGACACACAGCAGGAGGCTGGAGAGGACCCCGGCCACCTCACCAGGCCAGCCAGGCATTGGGGCAGAGGTCGGTGTCTGAAAGAGAAGACCAGGAGAAGGATCATCATCACCATCATCATCTTAGAACTGCAGAACTGGAAGGGACTCTCTGGATCCTCGAATCCAGCTCCTGTCGAGGAGGCACTTCTGGGGAACTGAACTCCCGATGGCCGGCTTCGACACCAGAAACGTACTGTCTTTTTCCATGTATAAGACGCCCACTTAGAAATCTAAGTGGGGCTTAGCTCGCCGGCTTCGACACCAGAAACTTACCGTCTTTTTCCATGTATAAGATGCCCACTTAGAAATCTAAGTGGGGCTTAGCAAGTGGAGGGGAAAGCAGCGATCAAAGCCCTGCCGGATCACTTTGGTCCCTACTTTCCCCCTCCACTTGTTTTTGTTCTCTGCTCAGCTTACTTCCCTGTATAAGACGACCCTCAATTTTTAGACTAAAGCATTTAAGACAAAAGTATAGTCTTATACGAGGAAAAATCCGGTAACTCAGGCGCAGTGGATCCCAACTGATGGCAACCCTTCTCTGGGTTTTCTAGGGATAAAGCGCTCCAAGTTCAAAAGCAGGCTACTCTGAGGAGTCACTGTGGAGAAACTGGGGAAAGCTGCCTGGAGGGTGAAGCCGGATTCTGGTCATGGACTCATCCAGCAAGGTGCTTTTGATCAGACCTTAGTCCCTGCTGTGCCCCAAAGAGGCTACAGGGAGCATCAGCTGCTCCGCACAATTACTTGCTGATGGAAGCAGAAATTCAAGATGGGAGGCGCAGAGGGGAGGGCACAGAATCATTAAAAAACTAGGGCTTGGGCATTCTGATACCTTTGGACTACAGAACCCAGAATCCCCCATTAGACAAGCACAGAAAATAACTTTTCCAAGCTTTGAAGGCAGTGTGTGTCCTACGTAGGAGTCGGCCACAACTCACACTCACGTGTCTGATTCCACTTAGCCACGGAAAGGGTCACACACTTTAAACAAAGCCTCAGCTCCTCTCTGGATGACACCCAAGCTACTTCTCAGCTGCGAGGCTGTGGATTTACAGGAGAAGCTTTACGGATGATGTTCTGGCTCCGTGTCTCTCCTTCCACCCTGGGGGTCCCAGCAGGTGTGCAAGGCAGGCAGGCAAGCGATTGGAGAAAGAGTCACTTCCCCACACTTGTCGGCTGAGCCCCAGGCTGAGGATATCAGGAGAGCAGCCATTAAGCTGGATCAGACCAAGGTCCACCTGGTCTGGCTGGCCCCTACCCGTCACCCTACAGGGAAAGTCTACCAAGCACACAGAGGTCTGCTCCCATCCTTCAGGACCCGGGCTTTTTTTTGGTCTGGACTGTTTTTAAAAGGCTATGGGAATGGAAAGAGACACAAAGCAGCTGAAATGGGGAGGGTCCGGGTTTAGGCTCACGGGCGCCCTTCTTCTGTTTACGTGCCACCACGTCACTCCCACGTCCCGTCCGTGCTATGAATTCCTGCCCTCTGAAAGGTCCGGTCCGTCGTTAGCAGCAAAGGTCTGGTCTTGCAAACTAAAGGCCGTGGCTTCTTTCACTGGGCTGATCCACCGCCTTCCTCTTCTCCTACTGCCTCCAGCCACACCTATCTTTCCCAAATGGGTCTTCTCAATGGGTCTTCGTGATGTGCCCAGATGGTGCTCGCCTCAGTTCGGGCATTTTTGTTTCTAGAGAAAGTTCAGGCTCGCTTTCACCCAGGACCCTGCAGGTGGGTGTCTTTTCTGCCGCCCCCCCCTCTGTAAAGCCCTCTCCGGCCACCCATCTGGAATGAATGGATTTCGCTCCAGCCAGCGTTCTTCTTCGTGGTCCTGTTTTCACAACAGATGCCACCTATGCCCCCCCAAAAAAAACCCACACCCAGGCACCTTACCTCCCCTTTCTTCATTCAAGTACCCTTCTGGCTGCATCCCCAGAGAGCCTGCCTAAGTAGCAAAGGGGCTGCCATGGGGGGTGGGGGGTATGTGTCTAACCTGGGCTGGCCCCACGTCCACCCCAGCTCCTCTGGGAGGGCTAATAACCCCCCCTACACACACAGACACACGCAGACACACACACACACAATGCCCCTTGCAACCCCAAAGAAAGGAGGGAAAAAGCCCCGGGGAATCCCATGGAGGGGCCAGGGGGATTTTGGGCTTTGTAGTCCACGCTCAGCAAACAAGGGCAGGTCCGAAGTGGGGGGTCCCATCTTGTCGGGGGCGCCCTCAGAGGAGAAGGGCAGCCTAGAGGTCATCTGGGGGGGCCACGCCGGGGCAAGAGGGGAGGAGACCCCCCTACCAAGAAGGCTGCCCCTGGTGGGTGCACGGGGGGGTAGTAGTTTGGGGAGGGGGGCGGTGCCAGCATCCCTTCTCGCGCCCCCCCCCCAAAGCTCCGCTCCCTACCCTGCCCGGTCTCTTCCCCAGGAGCCAGCGGTCCGCCCAGCCGGCGCCAGCGAGCTTTCAGAGGCTAGAGCGGCGCGCCGAGAGCCCTAGAGAGAACCATAGAGAGGAATAGACTAGAGAGGTAGGATTCGTCCCATACAGAGGCTAACGCGAGAAGGGGGGGAACCATAGAGTCACGGGGCGGAGTCGTAGAGATCCTAGGCGGACGGGAGGGCTGTCTCACAGCGGCCCCTGGCGGCCGAAGGGAAGCGGGGGACTCCGCCGGAGACTTGCAAGCCGGCGCTTTCCCGGGTTGGGAACGCCTCGGGTCGATTCCGACGTGCGAGTCAGAATTCCCAGCCTCTCGTTCTGGGGTACCTGGGGACCCCTGTGCAGCCTGTCCACGGCTACGCACAGGTGGCAGGGCAGGTAGCAGCCCCATCAGTCGCCCTCCCCCCCCTCCGACACATGGTTTTGGTAGTCCCGGTTCAGCACGAGCGGGGGTGAGATTCGAACTCCCAGCCCCCTGGGGCACTCTCACCCTCGCCTCCTGGGCTGTCGCCGGCCCCTCTTGTAAGGCAGCCGGAGCCATGAGCTCTACAAAAGACCGGCTCCCCGTTCACGGATCCCGCGGGGCTGGCCTCGCCTTGGGACGGGTCGGGGGAGGTGCCCCGGGGAGCGCCTGCACCCCCCTCCCCGATTGTTTTTTTTGGGGGGCCCCTCCTCCTCGTCCTCCTCCCTCCTCCTCCGCTGTTGCACGGATGCCCGGCGGCTTAACCCCCTTCGCAGCCGCCCTGGGTGCTGAGTGCGGATCCTGCCGAGCATCAACCCTGACGAGCCGGTCCAGGTGTGGATGTTGCCCGGCGAGAGGGAGCGGGAGCGAGGAGCCCTTTGCACCTGCCCAGAGGCACTCTGGCCTGCCTGCGCTGAGCCCCGGGGGCGGGCGAAAGCGAC